CTTGGGACGTGGGAGCTGCCATTTAGCTACCAGCTTCAGGACAAATGTGGCACACTGAGGATGGCAGAACCAAATGATGGGAAGACCTGGGGTCCTCAATGACATCACTGAACAGTTAGCCAACCCTAGGACCTGCTTGACATTTCATGCTCTTCTCACATTGGTCATGTTGGGTTGGGATTTCTGTCACCTGCAGCTGAAAGCCCTGGACTGACTCAGTACCTGGGCTAGGGCGAAAGTGAGGTAAGCTTGTCCCTGGCCCTGGCCCTGGCCTTTCTCACCCTCACACGTTCTTGTCACACCCAGAAAACATAACCCAATTCTAGGATTTTATGCCCAGAACGGGGACATCTCTCCTTATTATGAAGATTCTTCTATTGGTTCCTACCGCCTGGTGATCCAGACCCCTCCACACTGCAGATCCTTACATTCTGACTGTGGCCTCTTTGGCCAGCAGCTCCTCCTCAGAACTAAGAAGCGAGCCCAAGACATCCAATTAGCAGCTGAGCTGTGATTTAAAGATGGTCATGCAGATGCAGGGATGCAACCACAGGACTTCCCCTAATCTCTCCACGCTGCTCTCCGGGCATCCTGAACAGCAACTGGAGCTCAGCGACCCTGGACAGTATGCGGCAGTGCGAGTGTTCTCTTCATTATTAAACATGATGCCACTGACCCTGATGAACTCCTGGGGGGTTACAGGCTTCGGTGAAATAATTTTGATAAAGTGCTCTGAGAATATAAATAGGCATGTTTTTTCATCCCACACTATTTATTAAACATTGGCCTCTTGCAAATGTCAATAACTGGAAACCAGAAAACTAGCAGTTTTTAAAAAGTAATCTAGCCCAGCCTATGTGGCTCAGTGGTTCAGTGTTGACCTAGGAACCAGGAGATCACAGTTCGATTCCTGGTCCAATGCCCGGGTTGCGGGCTTGATCCCTAGTAGGGGGCGTGCAGGAGGCAGCCGATCAGTGACTCTCACCATTGATGTTTCTATCTCTCTCTCTCCCTTTCTCTTTCTAAAATCAATAAAAACATATTTTTTAAAAAGTTGTAACTGGTAATTCAGAAGCGAGTTTCCTCAAAATACCTTAAGTTAAATCGAAAGACAAAGCATTTCTAGAGAACTGGATCATTCTACTTTTGTATATGCCCTTTTTTCCCATCAGTTAGATTTTTAACTGGGTACATCTTTGGTCTCAGCACTTGCTTTAGATCTAAAGTGGCCATGATCTCCTGGGTTGGTCACTGACACAAATCTGAGAAGAATTGTGAACTCAGAAATGGAGAAAAGCAGACGCAACCCAACAAAAAGGTGGTGGATTTATTTATAAAACTAATTTTCTCAGGAGAAAAATACACATCTCCTTCAACACAAGGGTGCACTCAGATTTGGTTTGATATTAGTAACTTATTTAACATGGCAATGGGCGCGAGGAAATCCATTAAAAAGCAATTTCCCTCTTTCCACAGGGTGTTTCATCATCTGATGTCTGGAGCTCGATAGGAATGTAGCTGCCCTTTAATATTTTATGAGCAGGAAACAACTCATTTAGGCATGTTGACTCCAGAGATGTGGGAGTCTTTCCTTAACCTTGCAGGGTGTCCAGGCACCTGTGCAATAGATGCTGGGCAACTGGTCAACCTAGAAACTTAATCTATTAAAACACTGCAAAAATCAGGCTTTAGAACTGATAACAGGCACTTAAATATATATTATGTATATATATGTGTACATATACGTGTGTGTATATATATTTTTTTGTATATATGTGTGTGTACATACATATACAGGCATTTAAATACACAGGGTGTCCCAAAAATGTATACACATTTTGAATAACTATTAATTCCAATGGACTAAATCTGAAAAGAAAGAAACATCAATTGAGCTCTCAGCTGTAAAGCGTGTATACATTTTTTTGGGACACCCTGTATAAGTATGTATATACACATATACACACAACATACATACACATGACATACACACACATATACACATATACATACATATATATGTGTACATATATATATAATGACTTATAACTACCAGGGAAAAGTGTCTGTCCCAGCTTGTTTCTACAGTTTCTGAACTTGAAGCCCTGGGGGACAGGGACGGTACCTTGTTCACCTTTGTACCTGCCTGTCCACCACAGTCCCTGGCACATTGTAAGTAATCAATAGATTTTTATTGAAGAAACAAACAAATTCATTTGCCGTCCTAGATGAAGGGAACATGCCCTGAGTATGTGAGGACCTCACCGCCCAAGTTCAGCCTCACCGCAGAGACCATACCTGACCAGGTGCTGAGGAACCTGTGGCAGAATGTAGAGTGTCCCCTTCCAGCAGAAGGTGGGGTGTGGAATGATCTACAGCACAAGGGCATCTGGGGTACCCACAGAGATCCCCAAGGTATCCGCCTTCACCCCACTCTGTTATCGCAGCCCATGGGAACTGGCTTGTCTGCCGGGTTCTCACAAGTCCAGGAGGGCGGCTCGACACCAGCCAGGGATCAGTCCCTATTCTACCCCCAACTGCTAAACCACAGAGCTGACATTCCCTGTCTGCTCAGACTCTGCCACCGTGGTTCCCCTCCACCCCAGGTGGGGCCCCGCTGATCCACATCAACCTGGCCTCACACTGTCTGGAACTGGACCATCTTTTCCAAGTTAGTTCCCTTGGGTTGAATATTATTTGTTCCTGGGGTACTTCTTTAACTCCCCTGACTGCAACTTCAGCTGCTGAGGTCACCTACGAACAAGCCAAAATGACCACAGCTACAGTCTTGCTCTGCTTAAGGATGGAGAGCCGTTTTGAGAAATGTGTCGCCAGGCAATTTTGTCACTGAGAATGTCAGTTACACAGACCTCGATGGTACAGCCTACTACGCGCCTCGGCTACATGGTCCAGCCTACTGCTCCCAGGGTACAGCCTGCACAGCACGTCTGTACCACACGGCGTGAGATCAAATCAGGCACAAGGGAAAATGATGCCATCGAAACACTCGGCGAACACGAGGCAAGAGGCTGCATGTTATAAAGCACAGCACAGGGAATGCACTACGCCGCTAGCACAGTGTGGGGAGGCGAGGGCGCAGTGCAGTCTGCACGGTACCAAGGACAGGAAGGCGGTAAGAGGCAGAGGCAGAGCCCAGCTGCCCTTTAGTCCCAATGTTCTCCACCAGCTCAGTCTGTGTTAACTTTTAGCATCAGAGACACATGTCCGTTGGGCAGAGAAGAACAGAAAGCTAGGGGTGGCGGTCAAAGTACAAGAGGGTATCCCTTCTGCTGCCACCAAGGTGAGAGCCGAGAGCCAAGCAGGCCCTTGGGGACGATAGGAGTGGGGGAGGGGCAAGAGAAGATCGTCCAGTTTCGGAAGATCTTAGATTGTTTGCAATGCTTTTTAGCCAGTGACTCAGTAGTTTTCCCCACAAAATTGAGGTTATCGTGAGGGAGTCACAGTTATCAGACGGAGGAGTTCAGGAGGATTGGTCTGATTCAGGGCCCTGATCCTTCGGCTGAACCCAGAGTGAGCCGCAGAGCAGACAGAAACCTCGACAAGTCTCAAGGGGCCTAGGAAAGAGCACTCCCGCCCAGGGTCCAGTGAGCTGACCTGTTAACACTGGGGAGCAGAGACCTGAGCAGGGCAGAGGGATGCAGAAATCTCTCCGGCCAGCTGGGCCGCTTCTGCTCTAGTCGTGGGAAAGCGCCAGCTTGGGCTCCTCAGTAACGACCTTCCCAGCAGCTCCCTCCCGCCGGCTGTGCTCAAACAGGCTCCACTTAGCTCTGGATTCCCTAGTGTGCCTTAGCCGTGCGAGGGTCAGCTCTACGCCGCGACTGCAACAACCGCCTTTCCAATTTCATCATCCGACTGCCCCCATCCATCGTCTCGGCTCTCAGGCCGGTCACTGAATATTTCCGCTCCCACCATAACACCGCACACCCCACATCTCTCGGGTACCAAGAGCGTTCTCCGGTGCCCTCGCCAGTAAGCCCACCGGGGAAGATTTATGTGTGTGTCAGCTCTGTGACGCCGGAGGAGTGGAGGGGGCCGCCTGAAGGAGGCTCCACGTGGACAGTAATTGCCGGCCAGGTTCGACCAGGTTCACTTTAACAGGTTAAAGTGAATTATGCCAATGAGCGAGAGGCAAGACAGTGACCGCGCCCTCTTCTTCTCGGTGTCCTCTCTTAAGTTTTGTAATATAAGTAAGGAAAAGGGCCACAAGCATATCTCTGACCATATTTTTAAGGATCAGCTACCCATTTTCTCCAATAATTCCTTCTTTCTTAGAGAAGGCATTTTTAAATAGGTGAGCGAGAGATTTCATTAAGGTACTCAATTTTTTCTTTATAGAGAAAATTCTTTCAAAAAAAGAAAGATCTATGGGTAGGCTAAACACTGGATTTTTTAAAAAAGAAATTCATAGGTCTTTTCCCTAACTGAGTATTAAATGCAAGGCTGTTGTAATATATACTCATTTTTATGATATTTGAAATTCAGTCACAGCACTTGCCCATTTTTCCATTTTCACAGATTTTTTTTTTTTTTTTTTTTTGGTTAAATCTCACCCGAGGATATTTTTCCATTGCTTTTCAATGGAAAAGAGAGTGGAAAGGAGGGAGGGCTGCGGGGGAAAAGGGACATCAGTGTGAGAGAGACACATCGATTGGTCGCCTCCCTCATGTGCTCAACGGGGGGCGGATCAAACCTGCAACCCAGGTACGTGCCCTTGGCCAGGAATCTAACCTGTGGCCCTTCGGTGCGCAGGCTGATGCTCTAACCACTGAGCAACCAGCTAGGGCCCATTCTTAGGTTTTAATCACATTTATTCCCAGCACAGAAATACATGCGCTGTAGACGTGAGCCGCAGAGTGTTCAGTCCATGTGTTCCCCAGGAAGAACTGTGGGTGCTTGGGGAACCCTCCATGGGGGTCAGGGCACAGCGCTGGAAGTTGGTCCCACCCAGCATCACACCCACGCAGGAAACAAGTACTCACGCAGCTCGCCCACTTTCAGGATCTCACACAGCATCTTGGTCAGCTCGATGCTACTGCGGCCAAAGGGACACTCGTGCTTGTCTTCTCGGCTGCTGTTCTCCAACACGATCTATAGCAGGAAAGGGACAGGTCACAGAGGAAAATGGGTTTGTGTGAAACAGCTAAGACGCTGGCTGCACCGTAAGGGAAACGGATACAGTTTAGCTCAGCACACTAGGGCTCTTGGGCCAGGACACAACTGTCCCTTAAGGATATTCTCAGCATATGGGACCTAAAGCCCTCACATTTCCCTGAACTCCCAGAGCCTCCTTAGACCTGGAAGAGGACATTTTGCTTGCTGGTTGTCACTTACAAAGATGCTGATAGAGAGAGCTTTTCAGTAGATAAAGCAATACAGTAGATACTTTTTTTACTTAAGTGATAAAATCCTTCTCTTGTCCTCCAAGCCATGGTTTCCCCTTCCTGGGAAGAGCAACTCTTCTCTTGTGACTTCTGCCACGTTTCCCACGGAAGCTCCCATGTTCTTAGGAGACCTCAGCCCTGGCCTCAGTTGATTGGACCATACCTGAGGGACATGTGACATAAACTGGACCAATCAAGCCCTTCCCTGGGACTGATCACAGGAAAAGGGAAAAACTGGCCCAATTACACTGATAGCACCCAGGGGATGTGAGTGCAGGGGCTGCCTGAGCGTGAGCCTGCAGTAAAAAAATTTAAAAACAGAAAGACAAAATGCAAAGAAGCACAGAGAAGGAGTGGGAACCTCGGGAGCACCTGAGTGGCTGTCCCACTGGTTCCCATGGCAAAGCTCCTTTCCTGTCTTCACCCATCCTCTGAAAACCCTACGGTCTGCCAGGCACAGCTGCTGTTTTCTTGGTCCTTTCTGGTTCTAGCCAAGAATTCTGGTTCAGGAAAGTGGGAGGGCCGAACAATTAAATTCCCATCCATCAAGGAGTCTTTATTTCTCTTTTAAAAATTGTGTCTCTGAGGCATAGGCATCAAGGAGCAAATCTGAATCTCCTGATAACAGGACATGAATGGGAAAAGCAGAGCGAGAAGACGGCAGAACATAACGGGAAGACAGGAGACAGGTAGTCTCCAGCCAGCTCCCGGCCAGGACCTTCCCTTGCTCTTTACATTAATGTCTGATTAACATTTCATGAGCACATCAATATTTAATGAGGCGGGATCTGCATGCACTGTAGGTAGAATTACTGCAGCCTATAAATGTTCTGGAAACACTTCCGAGGCACAGTTTATTAGCAGGCACTAAATGAAGGAGTGATTTCAGGAATCAATATGTAAATCAGTCTGGAGAAGCCTTACTCTTTATTCTGAAGGCACCATCCGTCTCCTCATATCTACCCACCAAGAGACAAACAGGCCCTCCTCCCAGGCTGGTTTCTTCAGGCACAAACCTTTAAAGGCACCTGTTGTAGGTTTTCAAGTCCACATTCTTGGAGAAATATTTTAGAAAAGGCTATGATGATGAATGTTACTAATTAGATGATACTACCACGAGAAGCAATTCTTAAACTGGACAGTAGCTTATTTTAAAATTGAACACACTGCTACATCTACATTCAATTCTAACATTCTGGTATTAACCACGTTCTTCTAAGATGTTTTGAAAAATTCTATTTAGAAATATCAAGACCTGTTTTCCATCTTACTTTCCTTCCCTCTTCAGTTTTAAGAACAAACACACTTAAATAGAAACCACAATGGCTGGAGCACTAAAACCTGCTATGACGACTCATCTTAGAACACGTCACACACCTAAAGAAATTGTAACTGTCCGCATGTTTTATAGAATAACACTGGATACTGGTGCAATATGATGTGTAACATGTTTTATAAAATACTTTACAGGTTACAGGTATATATACATACATCTACTAACTGATCAGCAATAAGTCCATAAGGTTGGTAAGACAGGTGTTTATTATTCTCTTAAAAATGCTGAAACGAGACGCCTTGCTCACTCAGAGAGCTAGCCTCAGCTGGTCCTCAAATCCAGGTTTTGAGGTCCTCAGTTTCCAAATCTCTTTTGGCCTCGTTTCAGCCTACAACTGCCTTCCCATCCATGTAGCCATAAAACTAAATGGATTTCATGTCAAAGAGGCTAAAAGAACGCTGACTCATGTCCTCTGTCTCACTGAGGTGAGTCTATAAATCCCAGCCCCTCCTGGACAAAAGTACAAGGGCCTGTTTATCCCCGAAAATGAGTAATGATCTCTCAGGGTTGGTGTGAACTCTCTCCACAGGCTTTATTTCCATAAATGTTGAGTTCCCAGTGGTGCAGATCATGAACCTACTTGGCTTGGAAGTGACCATTAAGTGCTGAGTACCAGGCAGGTCACACTCTACCATTGCCCCTTCTCCGACCCCTGGGGCCACTTGCTCTCTCCAAGTCAGCATCCTGCTGCTGGCCTGCTGTCGCTGGCGTGCTTTCCTCCACTCTGTTGAGCTCTCCCCATCCAGGGCCAGTCCAATCCTTTCTGTGTTCCCTGTAGTCAGCCCTGGGGTGAGCCTGGAGGGCTTCTTCTATTGCCTCTCACCGAGGGAGGCTTTCTGTTCACGTTGCTCCAACTCTGAGGGTCACATGAAGCATAGTGGTTTCCTCCTGGGCACCGAGGGCCAGTAGAAACTCGTACTGTGGTTACTGAATCACACACTTTACAAAGTGATCCCCCCGATATTTCCAGTGCCCACCTGGCACCCTACACAGTTATTACAGCATTACTGACGATATCCCCTGTGCTGTACTTACATCCCCATGACTACTCTGTAACTGCCAATCTGTACTTCTCAATCCCTTCACCTTTTTCACCTGGCCCCCCAACCCTGCTCCCTTCTGGAACCATCAGTCTGGTCTCTGTATCTATGAGTCTGTTTCTATTTTGTTTGTTTATTTTGTTCTTTAGATTCCACAGAGAAGTGAAATCATACATATGATTGTCTAACCACTATGCTGTACACCTGAAACCAATTCAAAATAATATTGAAAGTAAACTGTAATTTAAAAATTAAAAAAAAAAATTAATTAAAAAAATAAACTTGCACTGTGTTCTCTCCAAAGAGCAGGGGCTGTCCGTCTTGGCCCATTTCTGATGCAAAGCTGCCAGGAGAAGCCCTGATAATGTAAAGAGCCTGGGCACAACTAGTGTAAGTTGCATAGGCATCCATCACCTCGGGAGATGGGCCAAAGTTCCATAAAATATGCTTCACAAGACTGTTGTGCATATTGAATCACCACTTGAAGGCACAGTGCCTAAGACAAAGCACCGAGCTAGTGTTTATTACTGTTGTCCTCCTGCTTCCTGTTCCTAGGTGGCCCTTGGCCAACAGGATCTACAACACTCACCAGCAACTGAGCCAAAATCATGACCACAGTGAAAGGGGCTCTGTGACGATGGGCCTCAGGATGTACAAAAGTAACCAGAGGCTCTCCCATTGTTTCAGGGTGAGAACCAAACAAATAAAGTACCCATGTCACCACCCACTTACATGGGTGCCTCGGACGTCCCCTGTGCTCATGTTCCAGTGGGGATCTCCCCCAGGAACATATGTGCTCGAGCACAGAGTGAGCAAGGACCCCAAGCACAAGTCGTGACCTGGCGGGTTGAGTGCTAAACAGTACGGCGGCCACCACTGGACACCTGTCCTCTCACAAGCTCTGTTAAACCTGTCTCCTGACCGCACTCGAGGAAATGCCATTGCTCTTCCCTTTGTATCAGTGAGCCCACCCCCAACCCAGGAGTAGATCTGCATTAATAATGGAATCATGGGACACCCCAGATTGAAGCATCAGCCCTTACACCACATCACCAAGGCACAGACCTCTTCTGAGGTCCAAGTGTAAGCCCAGCTTGGGGCCCTCTCACCAACACTAATGGTGATTGGTCCTGAAACACCAGAGAGAAGCATCAGAAAAACACTGAGCTGCCTCAGGGGGCTGCCCAGGAGCTTAATTGCAATCATGAATTTTGAGCAAGTTCATAAAATCAAATATGCCAAAGCCCTAATAGGATAATTTTAGATGGGCAGAGAGCAGCACTGCAATGACAGGAAGTATGCCCAGCAGGAAAACAGCAGAGCCAATCAGAGCCCAAGGTGGCCCCTCCATCTGATCCACTATCCCCATTTTAAGACAAGGGAGATGAACCCCAGAGTAAAGACACCTGAAAGAACTGCGTCAAAGGTGCAGACAGAGGAGGAGAGAAAGATGAATAGCAGCTATTATTTATCAAGAGAATGCATTTGCTAGGCCTGGTTTTTCCTGAGTGATTTCCCTGAGTGTCTCCTTTAAGGCACACATCCTACCACATGACAGAATTCCTGCACCCTCTCACTCTATAGATGGAGAAACTGAGGCCAGGAGATGTCATATAATTTGCACCAGGCCACATAACACAGAAGTCAATAGAGCCAGCTCAGGACCTTAGGTGGTGGGAGCCTGGAGACCAAGTTCTTGGTTACTGATTCCTGATAAAAGGCATGTTGCCTATTTGTGCTGAGAAATGGAGGGTGAGACAGTAACAATGCTTTGATCAGGAACATCCTTAACACGGTAACAGACTAGTCGGTTACCCAGACAGCAACGCTTTTCCCGGAGCTACTTCTAACAGACTGGGTGACTTCATGCCCTTTCCTTAACCTTAGTTTCCTCCTGTAAAAAGGGGATGGAAGGAGACTAGACTCTGGGTGGTGAGCACACAATGCAATACAAGGATGCTATACCATACAATTGTGCACTTGAAACCTATATCATCTTATTAACCAATGTCACCCCAATACATTTAATTTTTTAAAAATGGGGACAGGGATACCTACCTACTGAAGGTTGCAAAGATTAAGTGACACAACAAAATAGAGGTGAAAATCTCTTAGTGCCTGAGACATCTCCAGCCCTCAGTGATGAAGACACTGGTCTACCACTGTTACGACCATCACGTGACCTCTTTTCCAGGTGTTACCATTTGCTTTACCGAAAGACTCTATGGCTCTAGGGCCCAGCTATGGGAAAAACACACGCCCCAGGGAACAAAACTCAACTGCTATAGAGATGACTCGTCTTGCTCTCTGACAGGAAGTTCTCAAGTGGAA